GACCCTCCAGCCAGGACCCTGTGGGATTGGTGCCAGCAGGAGCATTGGCTACATCCCAGTCCCCATGCCCAGCCTGGGCTGCATCCAGCACCCAGCCTCTGTAGCAGAAAGGGAGGGGGGTAGAAAGGGCCCTTGTCTCACTGCTGGGGGAGACATCCTGCAGCCCACAGACAAAGCTTTTCCTGGGCTGGAGAGCCAGATGGGGAGGGGAAGGAGCTTGCACCCACGACAGGCCGGGCCACCTCCAGCCTTTCCATCCCAGAGGAAATCTCATCGTCCTGCTGCAGCGGAGTGGGGGCACAAGGTCCTCTCCAGCCCTCGATGCCTGGCTGTCTCTAAGGGATCCTCAGAAACGGGGAGGTCTCCAGGACTAAATGTTAACAGGGAGGGAGTTTCTTAGTTCACCAAAGAGCCCTGGCCCCAGGCTGGTTTCCCATCTTGCTCCCACCCAGACCTGACCCTACTTAGCTACAGGCTTCCAGAGCAGCTGGGGGAGGCTGGCTGGAGCGGGGCAAATCCCAGGCCCCCAGCCAGGGCTGGTGACCACCGACAAGATGGGTGACTGTGGAGGGGACTCTGCCAACACCAGGGCCGGAGGGGGCTGGGAATGGGCCTGGCTGTGGCAGCAGGTGGGTAGAGATGCTCCAGGGCCCATTTAGCCCTTGGGGTGTCTCAGCCGAGGCTGCCGGTGTGGGCTGTGCCAGGCCTGGGACCTGGCAACCTCATCTCAGCTAGGCTCACAGGTGCAGGAGGGAATGGTCAAAGGGTGATCTGAGCCTGGCGGCTGCATCACACAAGGACTTACAGTGACTCCCCCGGACCCCTCGCTTCCTAGCACCCGGGTCCTGGACAGGGATGGGCAGCTGCCTTCCCGCCGGCTGGCCGAGCTGGGCTAGGGCATGCAGCGGTGGGTCAGTCCCATGCCAAAGGCCTGCTCCAAACAGCTGAAGATCCTCCCGGCTGGCCTGGATTATACCTGGTCCAGAGGCAGTCAACTCCATGGTCTCTCAGTGCTCAGCATGGTCCATCTAGCCCTCTCTGAGCTGCCCCCTGAGAGCACAATCACTTGCTCATTAGGTGGGAAAGGAGCAAAAGGCAAGACAGGATGAGGTCAAAGAAACCTGCTTGAAGGACAGCATCTGCACAGACACCCTCTCCATTTGCTGCTTCCCCAGGGCCGGTCGAAGGGAGCAGCCAGACCCAGTGGCGCAGTCGCAGCCCCCTTTGATTCCTGCTCCACCCACGCTTTTAAACCAGCTGCCTGCAGTGGCATTTCTATTCAGGCAGCAGGGAGGGAGGCCATTGACTTTGTGGCTCATCATCTCCCTGCATCTAATCTTTCTCCACCCCACAGGTGTTAACAAACCTGGATCCTTTTTAACGGTCTTGATGTTCACTAGTCAAGCTATCCTTTCTGCAATTTTTTGCTGTCAGTCCTTTCTGGGAATGTCTCTTTTCCCATTTCACAGCCATGTGGACTGTTTCTAGCTCCAGCAAGAAACTGTACCTCAGGCATAGTCATATTAAATTGGGCGTAGAAATGACCGACAGTGAAGTATTGGAGGTGCTGTCAAGATGCTCAAGAAGGCTAGATTTTGTTTTATGAATCTGAATAAGAGCTACGTCTTTAACTGTACTCACCACAGGACTTATGATACAATCTCTTTTAACTATTTTTTGCCTAGTTTGTGGCGGTTTCTTTTAACTTTATGTATTATCTCATGAATTATACTGTACATGGCAATAGTTCTATTTGTTTTTGCTCTGATTTTAAACTGAATAATAAAGTGCAAGCCCCCTAGCCTATAAATAAAGCAACTAGCTTCCTTTTAACTGGAGAATGCGTGTTGGTATATGTGATGATGCACCACATTGGTTTCCCCACCTGTCTAGACCCTAGATCTGTCCAGAGCCAGGCCCATTTCCAAAGGCATCAGCAGAGTCTGGAGGGAATTACACACTGAATTTCAGCACCAGTTTCTTCCACTGCCCAGTGGCCTTTGTGCCCTGGGACAGGTATTTTGTGGGGGAGGACAAAGGAGCAGGGTCTGGCTGTGCCTCTTGAGCAGAGGCGATAGGCAGACAAGCCCTCACAGGCTGTTATCTCAAGGTGGGGATAAGAGTGAAGGGGAAAGGTAAAGGGACTGGGAAAGGCAATAAAGAAAGCAGGCAATTCACTGCATTCATACTCGAGACACGGTTTCTCCCATCTCCTGGGGCTGCAGAGCTCATCACTCGCGTGCAGCCTTCGTTTAGGAGGAACTTGGAAGTGCAACATACGGCTGATGTGGACTAGGAGGGCAGAGCTGCACCTCAAATGAAACAGCTGGAGGAGAGGAGCACACACCAACATTGGGAAAGGGATCAAGATGCCAGGGTCAACACGGTGACCCAGGGCACCAGCAGCTGGCTCAGGCATCCTCCCCAGCACAGCAATACCTGGAAGGTCTGGCTGGGGTATGGGAGCATCCTGGGCTGCACTGGTAGGAGCATTGCCAGCAGATCCAGGGTAGTGATTCTTCCCGTCTATTCTGCACTGGTGAGGCCACATTTGGAGTCCTGTGTCCAGCTGTGGGCCCCCATTGCAGAAAGGATGTGGACAAGTTGGAGAGTTCAGCAGAGGGCAACAAAAATGGTTGGGGGACTGGGGCACATGACTTAGGAGAAGAGAGTGAGGGGACTGGACTTCTTTAGTCTGCAGAAGGGGAGACAGGAGGGGATTGAATAGCAGCCTTCAACTCCCTGCAGGGGGGTTGCAAAGAGGTTGGAGCTGGACTGTTCTCAGTGGGGGCAGATGACAGGACAAGGAGCAATGGGCTCCAGTTGCAGCACGGGAGGTTTAATTTAGGTGTTAGGAAAAGCCTCCTCACTAGGCGGGTGGTGAAGCACTGGAATGAGTTACCTAGAGAGGTGGTAGCATCTCCACCCTTGGAGGTTTTTAAGGCCCAGCTTGACAAAGCCCTGGCTGGGATGATGTAGTTGGGGCTGATCCTGCTTGGAGCAGAAGGCTGGACTAGATGTGACCTCCAGAGGTCCCTTCCAGCCCTCGTTTTCTATGATTCTATGCATGTCTGGCTTGATCCAGTGCGTAAGTGGTCCCCCTTCCTCCTGCATCATTTGCACACACATTGGAAGGAGCCTGCATCACATAAAATACTTTTCTGCACAGGTGATGAACACCAGTCAGGTGAAATGAAGTTCCAGAATCGAGTCTGCAGGGTCAGTTTGGGCAGGGAACATATCCTTCTTCCACCTGGAATCTGGCCAAGAGAGTGGCACTAATTAATACTTAGTACTTAATGATAACAACAGGCTTTGAAGCTGCAAATTAGAAGTAATTAAATAACCAGGGTGAACCTCCCCACCCCGCGAAGGGCCAGGGAATCCAGCCACACGCTGCTCCTCAACCCACATCCTGAAGCTGCTCTAGCGACCCCGAGAAGGACGCCACTATCAGGTGCCGAGAGCCACTCTGGCAGCATCAGTCTCGGGCATGAGAATCGGAAGGCAACTATGAATAAAGCTAGCCTGACCCCTTTAATTTAATTGGTTTGAGACTGGGACGGAACCCCAGCTAGAGAATCTTGTCCTTTTGCTCCAAGTCAGACTGATCTTTGCATTTGGGATCAGGAAGGGATTGCTCCAGACTGAGGGGCTTTGCCTTCCTCTCCAGCAAGGAGCATGGCTCTCCTCCTCTCTCAAGCCCATTTTAACAACCCACCTGCGTCACATGTAAATCAAGGGAAGTGATTTTTTTGCTTTATTCAGAGCCGACCAGGTTTGGGCCCCACACTTCAAGGGGGATGGGGACAGTTTGGAAAGAGTCCAGAGCAGGGCAGCAAAACCAACTGGGGCTGGGGAGACACGATTTACAAGGCAAGGTTGGAAGAACTAGGGAGAGAAGACCGAGGAGGGATTTGATATGAGTCTTCAAGTCCCTGAAGGGCGATTATAGAGAGGATGGAGATGGGCTTTTCTCTGTGGTTGTAAGCGACAAGACAGGGAGCAACGGCCTCAAGCTGCAGAGGGGGAAATTTAGGTTGAAGATTAGGAGGAACTTCCTGACTGAGCATGGTCCAGCACTGGAACGGGCTGGCTAGAGAAGCTGTGCAATCTCCATCCTTGAAAGTTTTTAAGAGCAGGTTGCACAGATGCTTGGCTGGGATGGTTTATTTAGGGATGATCCTGCCTTGAACAAAAGGCTGGACTACATGACCTTGTCAGGTCCCTTCCAACACGACTTTCCTATCATCCAGTGAACCCTTGCAGCAGTGGGACACCAATCACCCGCATCCCCCTGCTTCACTGGTGGCAGGTTAGGGTGTTGGACAATGTCTTGTAGCTGTGGAACAGGGCTGACATGTAGTTTAGTGATAGTTTCATAGTTGTTAGGAGTTGGAAGGGACCTTACAGATCATCGGGTCCAGCCCCCCTGCACTTGGGCAGGAAAGACTGCTGGGGTCAGATGACCCCAGCAAGCAGGCATCAAGATAGGTTGGGCAAGATAGGTTGGGCATAGGATGTTTTGGATAGGAAAGACCCTACCTCAAGCAGGAGGTTGGACTAGATATGACTTCCAGAGGTCCCTTCCAGCTCCATTTCTCTATGATTTAGCATCCAAGCTGAGCTAAGGTAAAGGGAGCACACCCCTTTTACTGGAGAAATTGTGAAAAAGTAAAAAAGAAAAAAAAATCGTTATTTCATCATCAGCAAAAACACAGACTTGAAAGCCACCGGCAGCTTCGTAGTGACAATAAAAAAGATCCCAAAGCCCTAGTCCTTTGGCCACATACTCCTGTGCATCTTTCCTCAATCGCCTACTCCCCTTGGTATCAATGCAAGTTCCCAGCTGGGTAGTTACTCAGAGGAGGAAAAGCTCCTAGGAGTCAGCTGTCAGCTCCCAGGAACCCAGGCAAGGAAGGGAAGTAGCTCTTTTCTTCAAACACCTCTTTCCTCCATTTACCCAAACCCCGCAAAACATCACATCTACCACGGGCGAGCACATTTGTAACAATTTATTGAATGAGGCAATAATAGGATGGGAAAACAACAGGGATTATTCCATGCTCTGCTACTCGACTGCTTTTTTTTTTTTTCCTTTGTGGGGAGGGAGGGGAGAATCTCTCAGACTAAAAGAACGTTATTTCATCGCCAAAGAAACACGGACTCGAAAGCCACCGACAGCTTCACAACGACAATTAAAAAAAAACAAAACAAAAAAAGAATCGTTAAAAAAAAGAACGAATCGGAGAACCAGGACTGCTGCTATGGAAATCTTCCCCGCCCCCTCGTTAAAGTACAGAAAAAACGTATACAAAGAACATTTGATATTTTTTTCATATAAAACAAGTAAATACAAGAATCTGAAAACTCTCGTGAAGGCGGAGAAAGACGTGGAGAACGGTGTTAATGGCCACTTAAAATAAAAAATTAAATACCATGCAAAGCGGCACACACCGGAGGGGGTGCAGCTAAGAGGGAGAGGAGTTTGACTTGGGGCGGGGAGGGGGAACATGTTCTGTTTTTGGGAAGCAAAGGTTTGGCCCATTTGAAAGTCAAGTAAAAAAAATAAAATAAAAATAATGAACAAAAAAACCCCCCAGTCACTGAAAACGCCCCAGGCCCGTTTCGGTCTGGAGTTTTTCATGTGAAGTAGATTAAAAAAACTAGCAGCAGCAAAGCCGTGCTGGAAATGCACATACAGCAGGAGCAGGCACGTGGCCTGTGGGACATGAATGGAGCTGGACGTGGGGGGGACTAAGGGACGGGGTCACCCAAAAATGGGGCCGCTCATGGTTTCATCCCTATGTTTCACTGAACGAGAAAGTGGACTGGGAACGGGGCCCTCCGGGCGCAGGCGGGATAAGGGACCGTCTGTTCAGAGCACTTCGAGTGCTGCTCCGGTCATGCCAGCGACAGACGCGCTACGTGCGAATCAGACGTACCTCTCAGCGACGTGGCTGAATGCGCTTCGGTTGCAGCGCGAGTCCTGGGGGGCACGTTGAGGAAGGGAAGGGGGAAAAGCACAGCTCAGAGACTCCTCCACTCGCTTCATGTCCTTCCCCCTCCTTCACCCCACAGCCCGAGCCCCTCGGACTGTCTCCTTGCTCATCTGGCAGCCACGGCAAGAAGGTAGAGAAGGCTCTCAAGTGGCGGCTACATTTGGAGGGTGCGGGAGAGGCAAGTCCAGGTCTCCGGCGTGGATCTGGGGGACGGGGAGGGAGTGTGGTGGGGGATCTCTCCACTGGCTTTGCCCCAGAACTTTCCTCTTTATTGACAGCCAGGTGCTGCCTCCAAGGACGTTGCTACCCCTTCGACAGGCTGCTGCTGGGCCTCCGCTGTTGCGCACGTGCCTTCCAAGACAGGCTGTTCCCAAACTGTCTCTCTTAAAGTCCATGTTAAAATCTTTGAAACCTAATTTGCAAAGTGGGGGTGGCCAGGAGCCACAGTGGGAGTCGCGGTGGCACTGGCTTAGCATGGGTAGAACGGTCTCCAACCGGGGGCACTGTGACTTCCTGCTGGGGCAGGGGGGCACAGGAGGGAGTGAGTCTTGCCAATCTCACCCTGATTCAGAGGGAGATACTTCATGCGGGGTGGAGGGCTGGGGGTCGGGGGGGTTGGGGGAGTGGAGCTGCATTTTGGTTTTAAATCTCGGCGGAAGGAAAGTCCAGTCAGCAATGGGCTTTTCACTCCTGAGGGATCAGAGCGGCGCTATAAAAATGCACTGAACACACATCCTCTGCTATTTGTTTTTTCCCTCCTTTTAAAAAAAGGTTAACAAAACCTTTGCTTCCCCAGCCGGGAGCCTCGGTGCCACCTGATTGCATCTCTGGAGAGGCGTAAAAAAATTATTCGCGTAAGAGACGAGAAAAAAACACCATCATGATCCTGCTGCGGCAGCATCACTGTTCCAAGGTCACAACCTCCACGGCTTGCCCATCCATCGTGACGGCACTGTCTGCTATCCGCGTGGTGACGGGCGCCATGGCGACCTGCACGGGACCGTTACCCTGCGCAAGGCTCGTCACCACTGTCTGGTACATGCTCACGGGGATCTGGACGAGGCCTGGGGAGACAAAAAGCAAAAGATGGGTGTTTGCAGGTGCAGATCTGGTTGGGAGGGAGGAGGGGGGGAAGATAGTGCTGCAGTTGCACCCCATTTTGATACCTGCTCCACCCAAACTTTCAAACCAACTGCCTCAAAGGGGCAGAAGTGTTTCTATTCAGGCAGCTGTGAAGGAGTCCATTGACTTCATGGCTCCTTGTCATCTTCCTGGTTCCTGCTAATCTCTCTCCACTCCATAGGTGTTAACAGCCCTCTCTCCTTTTTAATGGTCTTGATGTTCCACTAGTCAAACTATCCTTTCTTCTGCAATGCTGCTGTCTGTTAGCCCTTCCTGAGAATCTCTCTCTCCTGTTTCACAGCCCTGCCGACTGTTTTTAGCTCCAGCTAAAAACCTTAATTCAGGTGAGGTAACAGTAACTCATATGTAGAAATGACTGACAGTGAAGCACTGGAGGCATGGAGGCAGCTAGATTTTGTTTTGTGACTCTGAAGAGATGTACATTTAACTATGACGACTACAGGACTAATAGCGCAATATCTTTTTACTATTTTTCACCTAGTTTGTTGTGGTTTTTTAAAAATGTTTTATATAATCTAGCAATTTAGTGCACATTTCAGTAGTTGTATTCAGTTTTGCTTTGATCCTATACCGAATAATATGGTTCCTGCCCCTAGTGTATTAGCAAAGCTTCTCGTTCTGCTTTAACTGGAAAAAAATGCACACTGTGCTACATGTGATGATGCCCCACACCGTTTGCACCCCACTTTTCAAAACCCCAGATCCACCCATAGAGGCTTGCCATTCATTCAGGTCTTGGGGCTGGGCCAATCAAAGTCTAGGAAATAATGGGCTCCTGTCCTGACAGGCCTGTGACTTGTACAATGCAGGAGAGATGAAAAAGCAGGGCTAGCAAAGCCCTCAGGAGGTCATGTCTAGTCCAGCCCCCTGCTCAAGGAAGTCAGACTTGACTAGACTGATGTGTGTTAAGCCTATTCTTAAAAACTTTGGGAATAACCCTCATACACAGCTACCAGGCACAACACACGAAACACCAAAGACAGCCCAACTTGCTGCAGGTAAAGAGGGGAATGAGGGCACTGCCAGTGTCCTGCTACTGCAAGGAAAGGAAGGAGTTTGCTAAAACATGCTCAAGAGATCCCCGGAGAGGGCCACGTCCCCTGCTGCAGAGGGAGGCAAAACTCCTGCAGTCTGTACCGATCAGACCATGGGGGCAAATTCCTTACTGATCTTTTGCAGCATCAAGCCACATCGCACCGGCCAAGGTCTGAGTGTGTGGCCCCATGAAGTAGTTGTTCAGTATCCCTGCGCCGCTTACTGTGCAGACAGGAAGGATTAAGTCTTAATCGCTCTGTGCAGGTGGGTGACCCGGGGGCTGGGGTGGCAGAGAGTTCACAGGACTGTGCACTTCTCATCTCAGCCCTTGATGTGCTCTGCCAACACCTGTGCTTCAGAATAACCCTAGGAAGCATCTACCCACTGCAGAAATTCAGAGGGGCTGCATCCGTGTCCTACATCTGGCATGTTTTTTAGGGCACGTTCTACTACCCAGAGACCTCCAAAGACTTTGCTATTGCAAGTGACTGACCCCCTTAGCAGCCAGGGGCACACGTGAGTGTGTTTGATCCCAAGACAGGTGCCAGCGTACAGCAGGGAGCAGCTGCTGCCTTTCAGAGAAGAGCACTAGGGAGACAGGCCTAGGGTGGAAAGACGGCAGCATGGGTGCTGCCTCAGCCCCATGCCACAGCACACCTTGGAACTGTCCAAGAGACAGAGGCCCGCACGGCCCCCTCGGCACAGGATTAAGCTAAATCCCCTCAGCATCTGACACAGCAGCACCAACCCAGAGGAAGAGGAGAGGCGCGAGGGCGGCAGAGATGATCGCCCTTGGGAGAAAGACGATTAAACTGCTGCGATACCGTCATCGGGGCCAGGATTGTCCCTGCGCTGGGCTCTGATTAGCCCTAATCTGGCTGGCACGTGGTCCCCTCAAGCACGGAGGCTGGACCCTTTTGAGTGCATTAACCAGGAAATCCCCAGGCCAAAAACTCCTGCATCTTTCCCACCGCAGACCTGCGAGTAGGGCCGGCTCCATGAGAGTGCTCTCCCCATCACTGTGGGGGAGTGAGAGGCATGCAGCTGCTTGCTGGCTCTGCTGCGGGTCAGCCCTGCTCCCACCTGGCGAAGGGCTGGGAACAAACATTATTAATAATGCACCAAGCCGCACAGACAATAGGAGCGTGTGCTCATGGGTCTGGAGCAGGAGGGTGCAGCTGGGATGAGTGTTCCCTGCTTTGGGATAGTGCCCAAAAACCAGGTCTCAATCAGGGCCCCTTAGGGCTCAGCACACACGTAATCAGTGGAGGCTCCTGCCTGTCCCAGTTTGCAATGTGAATGAGAACCAGAGCGCCCAAGAGTGTAAGAAACTAGTGGGAGGATGAGAATGGGAGGAGGAAACCAGTGGAGATGCGTGAGATGCATCTGCAGAGGCTGGCTGTGCAGTGTCACACAAGTACCGGGTACAGCAGTGGTCCCAGCAGGCTGCTCTCAGCTACCCAGAGCATCACAATAGCTAGGAAAAGAGAGAGCCTTTGTGACTAGTTTGGGGTGAGGGGAGAAATGGGGGGTTGTGGAGATGAGGCTGTCTGGAAGGAAGCCCAAAAAGCTACCTGGAAGAGATGCAGACAAAGGCCAAAATTGCTAGTGGCCATCGGAAGGGCCGGGGAGTGTGCTGGGCGGCAGGTGTCGGACAGAGGGAGGAGCAGGGCCGAGCCAGGCCGTACAGGTGGGAACGGGAGTCTCGTGTCTGACACAGTCAAGGGGAGGCCGCAACAAGGGCTGGGTACAACCCCAACACTACGTGTTGTGCGTGGATTCGGTGTGGACTGAGGGGTGCAATCATCAAACTGGGAGAGGATGACGCTGTAGTTGTCCACAGGTCACATCTCAGAGATGTTACAGATCAGGACACAGCCGGGGTGTGTGGGGCCAAGCAGACAGAGGAGTCAAAGACAATGTCTGGGTTACAAGCCTGAGCAAGAAGTGAGACCATCACGCCATCAGCCGGGGACCATCTGGCACTGCCCTTGGTAACGCTGTGCTGCCCCATCACAATCCCTCTTGCTCTGGCTTGGAGATGGGTCTGCCACGATCTCCAAATGTGAGCAACGTACATTTTCGGAAGCTCAACTTGAGGTGCATTAAGGGGACCCAGCTCCCTTTTTCCCCTCCCGTGTTCGGGATAAAACGAATCAGACCCCGTTAGTTAAGCAATCAACAGTGAAGATGCTCCAGGTCATCAGAGAATTTGAAAATCTCTAAGAGTAAAATAGGGGCCTCTGTAAATTAACCAGGCATGAGGAACAGGAGGAAGGGAGGAGACATGGCCTGGACACCATGCAAAGCAGTTACCCTCCTCCTACTACACACCTGCCAAGACAGGATACAGGTGCAACAACTCCAGGGGTTTTGCCCTGCAGAAACGACCTGGAGGCGGAGATTGCTTAAGGTGCTTTCTTTTTTTTCCCTTCAAGATTAAAAGGCTGGGGCGTCTGACAGCCCCCAACATCACGTCTCAGCCTTACGATATTCTCACACTGCTCTACAGTCATCCCACAGCCCCGCTCAGGGAGGAAGGGTGGAAACTGCTCCACCTGGCACTGGTTTGAGAAAAAAGCTGCAAGCCTTTATGACCTCAAATGTGCTTTTAAATCCCCATTTGCTTCTGGAAAAGCCATTCTCTCTCTCTTGCACACACGCACAACCTAGAATATAAGAGATCCACCCAAAAAGAGGAAGACTTACAGAACAAATGAACAGCAAAAAGAAAAGTGGCGGCAGCAGGGTAGTTTATGGATGGAGACTTAGCCTAAAAGGGGAAGCTCCAGATCCTGACCTGTGATTTATAATAAAACACAGGCCACATATGACATTATATTTCTACTGGGAGAATCTCAACTTTCCCAGTAGAAACCATGAGTGTGAAGGCATCCATATGGTTTCTCCTGGAACAAAAATGGCTGTTCCAGGAGAAAAATAATCCATCTCCAACCTGGTAGAAGTTGCCCCCAGGAGACTTTCTCCTGGGAGAATGAACACCTGTACACTTCCCTGCTGTTTGACTCCTTCCAGGAACCCAGAGGAGCCGAGTGGTGAAGGGCTGTGACTGCAGTCACCCTGGTCTGGAGAAGGCATGGGGAGCAGACTGGGAGAGGAGCAGGCAGGGGCTTTGCTGCACTGCTCAGTCCACTCCCGCTCTGCTGCTGGGCACCAGCAGCCAGGCAGAGAAGCAGTCGCTGTTTGCTCCCCACCTGCTCCTTACACCAGAGCCCCTGTTCTGCTCACTATGATCCTGGCTTTGCCCAAGGATCAGAAGAACTGGAGCAGCCGCCACTCCCCATGCTTTCCCCAGACCAGGATGAGCCCAGTTTGAGGAGGGCATGAGAAGCGAAGGAGAAGAGGCAATTGCAGGCTGAACGCCTGTGCTGCTCCTTCTCCCAGACTTATTTCTAGTGGTGGGAAATTTCCACTGCTAGAAACACATACCTGATCATGGCCGTGCTGAGGCTTCGGCCTGGACTGGTCCTTGGACTGTCGGCCAAGCACAGCACGCAAAACAAAAACCTTATGGTTTTCATCCAATAAATGAAAACTGCCCAGGAAGGTGACAGCAATTCTGCAGCCAGGGTAGTCTGCCCCTGAAGCCCTGCACACACACAGCTACATGCATCAAACTGCCACTTTATGGACGCCGCCAGCGTTACCTGCCATATGGCTGCCAAATGCTACTTAAAATTGACGGTGACTCACTTTTCCCATTGTCCTGGCTCATCCTGTTTCTGCAGCGTGCCTTCCTCCTCTGCTTAGTCAGAACAGCATGAGAGGCAGACAAAGTGCTCAAGGACCCAAAAGCGATCAGGTGAGTGGGAACTCTCCGCCCTGCCTCCTGACAGCGGCACATGCTGGACTCCAAGGCACCCTGCATTCAGGGGTTGCTTTGCTCCTGCTAAACTAACTTATTTTTACTGGAAGCTGCTGGCTGCTTAGGACTTGAAGAATCAAGCCACTCAACTTAAGATCCCTAGATGTGTTTTCTTGGCCTTGATTTCCTCCCCCCATTTCTTGTTGAGAGCAAAACCTATTGTGACAATGTGCTAGTAGACACTTCTCTCCCAGCATCTCCAACCCCGCCACTTCTCTGGCTAGAGCAAGCATTGGCCAAAGCCGGGAGTCCCCTTTCTACACAAGGAACTGGAGGCCAGGAGAGAAAGATGTGCAGAGCTTGTCAGCATTATTTCTTACACTTACTGCTGTCTTTGGAGAGGGAAAGTAAATCATGCTTATTGGGGGACCAAACTTTCTTACATTCAGCTCCCTTTTGGGAAGAGATGGCAGAGAGGATGCCTCAAAATGCCCAAGCATTTCATAGACTCAGAGAAAACAAGGGTTGGGAGGGACCTCAGGAGGTCACATCTAGTCCAAAGCAGGACCAGCCCCATCTACATCATCCCAGCCAAGGCTTTGTCAAGCTTAAAAACCTCCAAGCATAGAGATCCCACAACATCTCTAGGTGACCTGTTCCAGTGCTTCTTCACCCTCCAGTGCTTTATCACCCTCCTCTAGCTGAAACAATCATTTTATTGTCACTGAAAAGTGAGCAGGGCTGGAAGAGGTAGCAAAGCAGAAGCTTGGGCATTTTTGTGGTAAACCAAGTCCAAGCCTGGAGCTGACACCTGTTGGTTAGGTCACTTGTCCCTCCCTCATCTTTGGAGGATGCTGAGAGTAACTAGAGCTCAAAAACAAGAGAGGAACGCAGAGTTGACTGACACTAGGCAAGTTTTCCCTGCCCAGCTTTGCCCCTGTGCAGACTTAGGATCTTAATTCAGGGCCTCTTTCGAGTGACTGGCCAATTTCTGTATGGGAGCAGGAGACCAAACCTGTTTGTTTCCCCTTGTGACCCAAGCCCTTCCTAATGCTGTAGGATGCCACTGGTGAACATCTAATGTACTAAGCTACCATGCTGCTAAGTTCCCTTGATCTGCTGGCTTTGCAGTGTAAGGAAGGGCAAACCTGGTCAGATCAGCTGTCTGCATTGTTGCCAGTCATTTCTGATAACTAGCTAAAAATGCTGTGGGAAAAACAACATGGTTTCCATCTTTTACTAAATTTAGAAACTTAAGTCTCATTCTCTTTTAATTAAATGATATAGGAAAGGGAGCAGAGGTTGTTTTAGAGAAGATTTCTCAGGACAAAGCTTCATAAGAATTAGAGATGGAAAACACCTACTCAGTTGGAGTCCAGTCCTGTTGGGTCCTCAAATACAGGGCGTACAGTCAGAACAGTGATGCCTGAAACTGGTCAAAAATGCCATGATCCTGGTTGATAGGTTTTAAAGCTTCTGGAGAATCACTTAACAGTACATGAGTCTCATTACATTTTTCCATAAACATTTTAATAACTCTTCTCTGTGTTACCCCTTGAAAAAATCTGCTAACCATAGTGCAAATTAATTTTTTTCTTAAATTCTAGAGGTTTTCAAAGCCATTGGTACAGAATCCTATTATACTGCCTACAAAAATGTATCTGTACAATCCCTAGTAAAGTCTACAGGGCTTTTTCATAAAGTAAGGATTATATACCTAGGCTGATTTTTCCTTTTAAAACACCCATTTTAGAACCCCATATTCTCTAGATGACTTTGTTAATAGCAACGGCTTGTTCTTGAGGAGGACGGTGGAGCTCCATTTCAAAGTGACACAGCCGCTTTATTCATTTCATCTGAAGGACAAAACCAACTCCGAAGAGTCTAAAATCTACACAAAAGCCACTTGAACTTGCAAGGGCTTTTTAAAATTTATTTAATCCTGAGGAAGGGTAGTTGGTGCCTGAAAGCTTGTCCACCAGCTCTCCCAGCTATACAGTTGGTCTAATAAAAAATATCCTTGGGTCTTTTAAATTTCAAACAATTTTAAGAGGGACTTAAGAGTGGCCTCTACTCCACCGGTGCATATAATTATCCAAGAAATGCAGGACGAGTTAATGGCAGCACCTAGGGCTGCTGTGCTCAGGCCCCCAGCATGCCTTCCTCACAGACCAAGATGAGTATTATCAGAGATGCATGCTATCTTTATTCACGTAGCTAAACAGGAAAGTGTCTGTACTAACATATCTACTTGGTCTGTGAAAGACCAGCAAAGGTCTGGGGAATACACACACATACGCTGGAGCTCACAGGTCTATCATGCATGCCTGTACTCTCACCCTGATCTTTACGGGGCTTTCAGACTGAGCAGGTATGTCTATAGGTTCTCAGCACCCATGGGTTGGTGGCAGTTGGCTCTGGGGTTTGCTCTGTTCAACTCTTGTGTTTTGTACTTTATAGACATGCTCCTTAAGATGCTGAATCGCACCCCCACTGCCCTCACCCCGTGTTGTTACTTACTTATCAGTGAAATACCCATTCCAACCCTGGCTTGGGTAACAATCCCACTGACCTCCATGTGAGTTTAGCCTCAGTAAGGAGAGCTGCAGGGTCCTGGCACACCCAACAAGCAGGTGTACATCTACCTTGCATCTTTGCTTGCTACTCAAGCCTGGATCAGTGAATCTGGCAGGAGACACAAGGTCCAAATCATCCTTCTAACTACCTTTCACTTGGCCACTGCAATACTGATCACAGAGGGGCCTTGCCTTGAGAGGGCATCTTGAATGCAAAAAGTTGGGTGCTTAGGATCCCTATACGGTCAATGGAGACAAAGAGCCATCTCCGTACAGGGAGCCAGAGGGCTTAAGTGCTGAGCAGGCAGGTAGGTACTTAGGATGAGTCAATAGGATGTGCTAGACACGGGGGCATGTCTGAAGTCTCACCCTCCCCCATTCGAAATTAGGTGTCTGACCCAGGGCTGCATGCTAGGTGCCCACCATCATCCCAGGATTGAGAGCACCTAGGCAGGAGGCACCTGCCTGACCAGGACACCTACAGCACTGACAGCACCACTGAGTTCAGCGCAAAAAATGTGTGCATTTTACATCAAATAATTACTAGTTAAAATAGAAATAACCCTGGGCTACCCTGCTTGGCCCCTGCACTTCTCTCAGGGCTACAGAGTCAAGCTCTCCCTTGCTCGCTCCCATTCTGCCACATGACTCTTGCAGTCTAGAGCACCCAGTATTCAACAGGAGTAACGGTGGGGTTATCCATCCAAACTAGCCTGAAGCCTCATGTGGGGGGCACTCTCTTGGGAAGTGAGGGGTGTGGGTTGGAGTCCCTTCAGGGGGCAGTGGAAGCACCAGGCTATGGTGCAAGAGGCAGGCACTGCCCCACTGACCAGTGCCCGCGGGGTGCTGCGTGCATACGCTGGCAGCATCGAACAGGCACCAGGCAGGCTCTGGGAACAACTAACAGCGGCAGGACTCAGGCAGAGTTTAGGTGCCTTTGATCTGGACTGCAATGAGGCTTAGGCAGGAGTTTGATCTCTAGATGCTTGAGAAAAGTCAACAACAGGCAAAAACACAGAGGAAATGTTTTAGGAGGGAGCTAATGATTGTGGGTCCTAAGCAGTCCTCCGATTGTTGGAAGGGGGAGAGGATCAATCTCAATTGTTTTGTGACTTAGGGGCCTTCATTCCACCGAAGCCCGACAGGTGCCCGTGAGAATGATTTGGATCTAGCCCCGAGCGTAGAAATGCAACTCCTGTGGTAAATCTGCATCTGCTTTCTAGGATCCCTCTCCCATAAAAGTGTGAGGGAAGGGGGGAGACAGACAGGTGGGTCCCTCTTCAGCCCAAGAAATAGCCCAGGTGCTCAGAAACATAAAGAAACCAGTCGTGCCAGTCATACCAACCGGGGGCTGAAACTCAACACTTCATACAACCAGCACAAAAAAATCAACTCACCTGTGGAAACATCTGCTAGACTCCACTTGCCACCTGAACAGTCTTCTGCTAGGAACCCTGACAAAATGCAGGCATAAAATACTGAACAAAGGGGAAAATACCATTGGGCATGGTATAGCCACAAAAACCCCATGGGGATAGGAAAGAGGCCCTTTTCACTTTCCTCATGGAAGACAGATAGCCAAACACAAATTACTTCTGGCCTTCGTGGAATTAAAAGCCATATTGGGTGTCTACATCTGGAGCCTCAGCAATACATTAGATGTGACAAGCTATATATTTCTAACTCCATACAAAATGCTATTGGTGTTATCTAAGTGGGACAGCACGAAAGGGAAAGGACTGCAGATGATTCTAGGTATGAATACATGGCTTTTTGGATCACTAACGTAAGACACATTTCCCCAAGGTGACTGCATGCAAACCTTTATGCTACTGGCATAATATGGCATGGAAAGCCTAGAAAGCAAGGGCTGGTGAGAACTGCGGTTGCTGAAAACTAGTCTCCTAAAAGGTGAGGCCACCACCCATAAATGCTCTCTGCTATTCCCAGGGTGATTGAGGAACAAGCAAGAGGCCAGAGGTGGCTGCTGAGTATCGCAGCCCAGTGCCAGGCCTGCAAGCTCCCAAAATCCAGGTTTTCTCCCTCTACCACATCAGTCATTGAAAAATGTCTCGGAGGATTCTTAAGATTAAAATGGACTTTGACTCCAAAAGAGCCTCAAATGTTAACATACTTCGCACCACACCCAAAACGAACACGGACATTACTTTATGCTACATAGGATTTAACATGGGAAAATATAAAGCAGCTACTTGGCTTCACCTGAAAGATGCTTTCCTCTCTTGTCGCTGACTTGCTCAAGAGGGAACGTCTCTCAGCTAACAGGCAGGGCTGCATTTATGGCTGACAAACAGGCCAAGAGATGCAGGTTCTCTCTTTTCTGCAAGTCTTAGTGTGTATGTGTGAGAGAGAGAAATGAAAGAAACCTCCAACCCAAGCAACAGGTTCATGCTAACTGTTGGTTCAGAATAATATGGCAGAAAATAGACTATCCAAGGTTGGACTTTCTTAGATTCCCCACTTAAATGTGCTTACGTAAGCCAGCCCTGTGGCATTTAGTTGAAGGGTGGTTGCATTCAGAAGACGGATACTGTATAACTGCTCTCGTGGAGTTCTGTATGAGACCTTTTCTAATGGCGTCCAGGTCAAACTGGCTCCATGTGCACAGCCAGAGAAAGATTTCAAGCCTGTGCTACAAAGCCAGTGTGGCACCTAAGAGGCCAACCGGTTCTGAGTCTTGGGTCACCCTTCAGAAAGAAAGGTTTGCCAAGCACAGCCTGGTGGGCGGCTCTGGAGGTGACGCACCAAAGGCACGGCAGACTTACACTCACTTCTCTTGAGGATTTTGGAGCTTTGTGGATGCATCTTCACTAAGAAAAAAAATGGTGCACACTTAGTTGCAGTTAGCTTCTATGAATCCTAGGAATGATAAAGCAACCTGTACCTTCCAGATGGGTTAAAAAGGCAGGTTGGGGAAAAGACTGGGGAGGACCCTAAAGTTTACCTACACCTGCTAATACATGTGAAACACTACAGGCAAGCCTTGCCATCATGAGGATTTTAACCTGCTACCGCGTTGAGTTACCACACTAGCTAACGCAAGGCAAGTCTAATTCTGTTTGTCTTTATGCAGACAACCGAAAGAATATTGTCAGGAGCTATCCCTCTCCTCCATCAGAGGACTCTCTAAACCCTACTCACCACGAAAAAGAGCTCTGCTACAACGACCACGTGCTGCTCCATTGCTCTGTTCTGGGCTCTCTCAGGCAGTGCCTGAAGACTGCAAAATTTTTAGGGCAAGTGTCCTATTTGGCAAAGATCCCTCGCTCCACAGTGCCCTGCACACCGTCAGCAAGGCAGGTATAAACCACAGCAAACACATGACTTAGATGCAAGGAAGGAACCAGTTTTTACAGTCGACATTCCTTTACAAAAAAACCCAAAAAAACTTTCTTCTGCTGCCTGCACTGTGCAACAGGTGGGAAAAGTTTCTAGTGCTCTCAGTATCCGTTTGCGGTATGTGGCTGCCTCTGGCAGATTCAAGCTATTTAAACTCCCTGTATCTGTTGATTTAAAAAAAAATGGGGAGATTTGAGCGCTGGACTGATGATGACTAAAGTATGCAATATTTGCATGTCAAGGGCAAATTAAAAACCACACACACAAGGTTTTACAGAGTGGTTAGCAAGTCTCTGTAAAGTGTAGCAGCCTGTAAAAAGCACCCTAGGGTCCTTTGAGATCCTTTCATTGGTGCCACACAATGTTAGATGGGCAGACATGATTCACAAGATAAACCCAGAGGTTTCAAATAGGAATTCATGGTGTTAAAAACATCCTGACCTGCTGTGGTCTTTCTGAGCTCTTTGCAACAGAAAAGCGACCTACTTTCTTCTGAAGTCCAAAAAAGAGTGCAAACGAAGGGTCGACATTTTCTGGCGGGGTGCCTTCAGTCTTGTGTCGAACAAGGTGTGCCTCAGGTCTAACAAGGTTGAGCACCATTGGTGTAGTGGAAGGAATGATCATTTCTTTCCATTATCTGTGGCTCTTTCAGATGTCCCCTCTGCATAGATCCAGTGTATGTGGACCTGAAGTTCTGGCATACATACCTACCCTCAGTGGGATCTCATGGACAGAGATACAAAGAAAAACCAAGCCACTCCCGATATACCTGGCTGCTTTGCCTTTTCCCTACCATTAGGGACAGGACAGAAGGCATCACAATCTTGGTTGACGCTTGAAGAGAAAGAAGAAACTCCCCGTGGTCACAGACTTCCTTCTGTCCTACCTGACTTAAAAGACAAAGTACCACTAACTTTCAGTGCAACTCTGAACTCCTTAGGGCATTTATACATGTGCTCTGGGAGTGGGGGCTTTAATTAAAGCGGCTCCAAGAGCTGCTCTAGTTAAAGCACCTAAAGCATCATGTGCATCAGTGTCCCCGTGCTGAAAAATGGCGGCGGGGGCGCTTTAAATAAAGCTCATCGAACAAGCTTTAAAGTGTCCCTGCTGCCATCTTTCAGCGCAGGGACGCTGATACACGTGGCACTGGAGTCTGCTGGAGCGCAGTAATTACCACACTCCATCAACTCAACTAATTGAGTCTTCTCTGATGCACCGTAATTACAGCACGTTGGAGCAACTTGGCTACACATGTATAGGTGCCCTTAGTGTCCAGGTCACATCTGAATGTAGAAGACTGACACATTTGAAAACTCTACGTAAGAACATCAGCAGCAAAGATGTTTCATGGACTGTTTAATGTAACTTGTGGCTTCAAATGGTAGGAAACCATCATTGAGCCAATGGCACTGATGGAGAAAACTCCAGTGACTGATTTCAGTGACGTCAAGGAGTTGAAACTATTGTACATGTGCCAGAGATGAAAAGGAGTTGTGAGCTCAGCTGCATTTATGTGAATTATACATACATAACTGCACATACATGTGACATGCACTCTCTCTCTCTCTCTCACGCACACACACTTTAAATACAATGGATGCATTTTTGTGCACGCCACTAGCCCTTGAAAACAAAAAAAAAATGATGGTTTCCCCTGGTGATGGCTCAGGGGAATAGAAAGCAGAGCCTTTCCCAGCTAGATCTCCTGCTCAAATCTGTCACAGGCCAGGAGTAACAGATGGCCATTTCTGAAGGCTGTTCAGAGCTTATATGAAATGAGGGATTGTCTCAGCCCAGGTCCTAGCGGACAACTTATCCATGTTGCGCACACACCCTGTTGGCATTTTTGGCAGACTCAAAAGAGAAACCAAAGATCATACAGGCATGAAGTGGTTGCTCTTTACCTAATTCATTCCAGAAAAGGGCCAAGGCCAAGGAACAAGGGTCACGTATGCACACGGTATGCTGCAGCTGCATGTACAGCGTGTACTCTATGGCACTAGAGACTAGAAGGCAGAACCCGATTAATACCAATTAAGGCTCCCCTTGAAAATCCTTTAAGTTTCGACAGCGTAACTCCCCGGGGACGCAGAGAGATGAAGAAGTTCAGGAATCCACAGCCGGATGTTCCCCACTCGCTCACACCCTCACAAGGGGCAGAAAAGTTACTGCGATCTCAAAACAGACAAGAGGATGAGGGAGCAGCAAACGGCGCTGTGATTACACTAACGCCTCCTCTGCCTCTCCTCATCAGCCTGTGCCTTCTCCGTGCCAGGCTTTGGACTGGGAACGCCTCAGGGCAAGGAGTTTCTCTCATCTGAAGGCACGCTGTCAGCACGTCGCCGCGTGGAGTCCCAGCCGGCGCGTGCAGAGCTGTCACTCAGGGGAAGAGCCCAGCCTAGGGACAGCTGGCGAGCAGCCTCCTTAGCCAAGCATGTTAGCGGCCCGTGACTCTGCCGAAAAAGAGTTATTTAGGGCTGGAAATAACAAAGCCCAGGGGTGTTATTCTTAGCGGGGTGGGGAAGGAGTCAGATTCAGGTGCAAATCTGGGAAGGACCCAAAGGAAGCTACTTCTGCAGCAATCGCCTCTCGCAAACCACAGTTTATTTAGCAGCTTCACGCCGACGCAGGCGCCTTCCGGCTACAAGAGCGTTTTGTAGCCGCGGCTGGATTTGCTCCAAATGCGCTGCTCTGCTGATGGGCTGGTGGAGCCCATTTTAAATGACTATTTCCTGTCCAAGTGTGCAGGATGCCCAGTGGGAGTTGGGCTTGGAGAAGAGCAGGTGATGTGGCTGTGCCACGAGGCCAAGGCATCATGTGAGGAAGCAGGTCCAAAGCACCAGCCGCCCGGCTCCCATGCTCTCTTGCAGAGCCCGCAGTGCGGGAAAATAGGGCGACTCCTTCTGCAATCTTCCTGCCCAGCTGTTTACTGGCTGCGGATTACTGCAGTCACATGAGCTGCTTTACAGCAAAGCCAAGCTGTCTCCTGGAGCTGAGAAGGTCACTGGGAGACAAGGGGCTCGAGGGACAGACCCGCTGTCCTCTGCGGCTTTAGTTAGTCCCCTGTGGGTGCCGGGTCAGGGAAGAGCAGTCT